TTTAATACAATTTTTTAGCTGAACCAAACCAGAAGTAGCCTGTTCGAATTTAACCAAGAGACAGGGAAAAACTACACTCTGGCATATGACAAGCATGACTAGGGAAATGAAGTATATTTCTTTATACTGCCTCTCTAGACGGGGAAAGTTTGTTTTTTGCATCTTTCGCTAGAGTATGTCCTATGTTTGATCTCCATAATAATAATACATGCCACATATAGAATAAAATATGAATATAGAATAGAAGAAGATTTTTATTAAGCTCTTCAATCATATGTATAAAATATGAAACAGGAATTACAGAATGATTATTATACCATCATTCAGTCGAATATAATTGAGAAACTGAACCTTGCATTCGATAATGACTTAGATATGTCAAAAATCACAAGAAAAGAAAAAATAATCTGTGATTTTTAGTGATTATGCAATGCAACAAGCATTTGGATTTTCATCAGAAAAGAGCTGAGGTGGGGGAATTCTTTCAATGTAATAAAGAGGCTGATAATAATGCATCATTTTCTGCATGGACATTTCATCACTAACGATCTCCTCTCCTTTCTTGGCTTCCTCTTTGTTTTCACCACCTTGCTCCTCCTTGCCTTCTTTCGTTCCCTCTTCCGGTGGTTTCTCTTCGGGTTTTGCTTCTTCAGCTGGTTTTTCTTCTTTTTTGTTTTCAGGCTTTGATTCTTCTGCGGCGGGCTTCTCAGGTTCCGGCTGGGGGACAATTTTGGCCTGCTTTCTTGTGCATCTATAGACGTAATCAACGAGCTTGTCTGCATCCACGGTGCCTGTTACTATCACTTTCCCAGAGCTTAATTCGGTTTCAACTGTCCTCACACCTATAGTACACAATCCAGATGCTATAACGAAACCGTAAACACCAAGAGAGATTTTAATAGGAACTGTTAAGGGTAAAACAACAAGAAAAAGGACAGTGATGTGATTTCTATCTTCTTTCTTATACCCAAATCAAATTACACTTGAATGGTAAACTTGAAAGGTGATTTTTCTTGGTTCAGTTTGTAACTTACTCTTTCTAAGAAAACTTTGGGAATCAAAAAGCATCGAATAAAGATTAAAATATAGACAAACATATAAGATTTGGGCTACTCTTCTTAATAAAATTGACCTTTTAAGATAGAATATAAGTTTTAATATGGTATCAATGCTCATTAAGCTCCAAAGAGCAGTTCGATCCGATTAAACTCAAAAATAAGCACACAAACATCTAGATTGGTCTGCGCCATCTCGCGATGTCAAGGGATAAATCCGACATTGAATACAAATGAAAATATAGACCAACATATAAAGGTTTGGCTACTCATTTCAATAAGGTTGACCATTTAAAATGAAACTCAAGTTTTAATAGAAATAACAGAGTTATTACCATGGCAAGTCATGTTTAGCATGTATACCAAGTATTACCTTTCATTTTGAGTATCTTTTTCTTAAGCTGCTCAGCACAGGCCTCACAGTGCATGTTCACATTAAGTTCCAAAGAAGCCAATCCACTAACCTGGATGTCAATCGAAAACATTTTTCAAAAAAGATTTGGGATTATAATTTGAATTTGAAAAAAAAAACAAATGTCAGATTTTTTCTACCTGTGAGGCAACAACTTCTGGTAGAGGTTCACCCTCAGTTTCCGGTAATGGCGATAAGACTTTAGCTGTTCTCTTGGTTTTCTTGATGAGTCTGTTGCATACTGCTTGAGGCTCCACAACTCCCTTTATAGTCACTTGGTTTTGAGCCATGTCGATTGCAACTCCTTCAACTCCTGCAAAGATCAATAATATATATGTTACAAATAAGGCTCATTTTACACGTAAATTTTCAGTCGAGAGAGTGACCTCTTATCCTAAGAAGTGTCCTTTCAATCTTCTTTGCACATCCCACACAGTGCAAATCCACAAACAAGACAAATGGGGATGGTGGTTTAGGTTCTTCTTTCTTCTCCTCTGCCTTCTCTTCTTTCTTCTCTTCCGCCTTTACTTCTTTCTTTTCCTCTGCCTTCTCTTCTTTCTTCTC